CTTAAAAATCATACCCTCTTTATTTGATTTAAGCGAGATAAAGCAAAGGAGTGTCCGAAGTGTTTGAAGTATTGACCTGTTTCGAAAAATTTCCGAGATCACTGGCATTCAACAAAGCACAGTAATTAACCAATACGCTAATCAGTTTGATCTCATTTTTCGATCAAGAACGTTTTCGCTCACTGTGAAATTAGCACTCAAAGCAAGCACTCTTCTCGCTCCGCTAATTGCATCTCTTCTATTGAATTGCGATGACTCTCATGCAATGAAAACAGAACGTGGGAAAGAATGAGTTGAAAGCTTATGTTAATTTCTTTTGACAACATCAATAACAATACTGATAATAATAATATTCGACACTGGAGCTTATATCCCTTTCACTGCTTATGTGATAATCAGGGCAGTTTTCCACCCATTCTCAAATCACTGATGTGACTCTATCCTATAAAGTTCTCAATCCTCCGTAAATCCGTCCATCTTTCAAAGTTTGCCATTCGTTATCTTCAGGAACCATTAGATTAAGAACGCATCATTCAGCAAGGCAAATGAAAGCTTCGTCAAGGTGGTTGTAGCAGATACCTTCGACTTCGTTTTCCATGAGTAACACCTCATAGCACCATCTCATACATATCCCGGTTTTCATTACCTATCTCTTTACCCGGTACTTGACCGAATCTCTCATAATCACCTATTTCCTCTCACCATCAAAGTTGATACAGTAATCCTTCAAGCCATTCCAGTCTGATGTTTCCATATCCACAAAGCACATTTATGTTATCTGCTGGTTATCCCTGCCCCATAGTGTAATGAATAAGTGCAAAACAAAATGAAGCAGTAATCATAATCAAAACCTCAAAACTTTATCTCACAACAAATATATATCAACAAGAACGATCATCTAAAGTAATGCGTCACCTAACAATACAACTTCAAATATCAAATCATCACCAAACAACAACAACACCGAACACTTCAATAAAATCATGGATAAAGCTGGATCAATAAACAACAGTAAAGGTAATATGAAATAATCAACACCATCACACGATTAGCATCAACATCAACAATTACGACATAACAATTTCATACATATGAATACGACAGTGATAATGATTCGGAAGGCGTATGATGCATGGAAAACCCGATACACGATAATATGCTGATCACAAACTGACTCCGTATGGAACTGGCAAATAAAACAATCAAAAAATAAAATCAATGTAATCAATCACAATGGCGATACAAATCTAAATATCGAAAACAGTTATAAAATAGAATGAAAACGCAAAATGGAAAGGAAAATGATATCATTGGCTCAGTGATATCAGAAATGGAAAACATAATAACATAACAACTATCACCACTATTGATCACATACAACAACTCAATTGTTGTGGCCAAATAAAGAAGCATGCTTAAAAAAACCGAATGGATAAAATGAGGGAACAGTAGTACAAGGAGCCAGTTGGTAATTCAAAAAAGTATCGAGTCAAAACAAAACAAACAAACAAGTATCCGCAAACAACAAATATGCTAACGTGTGGGAACGGGAAGGAACGATGAGATGAAGCAATCTACAAGTGACATTTGTCATTTACAGTGATATCGTCGAAACAGAACAATCGAATGTGCACATAACGCAATCAAAAACGCATCAAACCACCATCATTTGACATGAAACAAAATTTGAAAGCGAAAACAAATCAAACCAACAATAACAAACAGTACAAATAAATGTTTGAAATAAAACAGCAATACGACGAGTATCAAACGATCGAAAACAAGAATGTTTACGCTTGATTATTCGGTTAGGAAAATGAGATTGCCCATCGATTATACAGGATACGATTATGAATTAATAATACTGATAAAAATAACAGACACAACACTAGCAACAACTATGTAAACATGCTGAACTCCAGCTAGTCCTAAACAATAAAACCATACATCAAAAGACAAAATAACAGAATCACCAATCCATTGCCGAAACTATTTAAAATTTGCGTTGGATCTGGTCAATCAGAACAGTACAAAAATCTCCCTTGTTACTTTGATCACACTGTCGAAGAATACGGCAGCCTGCAATCGATAAGAATCAACACTAATGATCAATCATTTACTGAAAGAATGATTTTGATAGAAGAAAAATCAAGAATGAATAATGAAAAAACAAATGACTCAATCACATAATTTACTCCAACCAAATATTTCTTAGAATATTTAATTTCTAGCAATAACATTAACAAAATCAATTTGCTTCTAGCAATCCTTAAAATAAGCTTGAAAAATGAGAAAACTTACGAATGACTTCCCGAACCCGGAACCTGTGGTGTCAGATGGCAAAATCGCATTAAACTCCGAGTCAAATTCATCGGCCATCTCACGAAGACGATACCCAATTTGCTCAAGTTGCGGTGTATTTCCATCATCTGCAAATCGAATTATCATGCCACACAGCTTCATCCTTATACATTAATATTGTAGATGCAGACGATACTTTTGAAAGGATACTTTTAAAGAAGATAGCATTTTCTCATTGTCGGTATGCAGTGGAAACAGTATCCATTACCATATTATGTTCAAACGCATCAACTCATCGTTACAATATCTGCCAAGAGAATGTATATGGATGTGGAGAACGTCGAATGGGCGGCATGCGAAAAGGAAATAATTAGAGAGCAACCGTAATAATTCGCTCGAATTGGCGTAACCATAAAATGAGCTAGGTAGTTGAACCAGCTATCAGAGTTCTAAGCGGTGCGATGCATTTAGATACATACTCATCATTATATGTTGCATTATGTATGTAATTTAAATGAATTATTAATGCGAAACAAATGAAACGCGGTGCAGATCTGTCACATAACGAATGCAACACTTATTTAAGTATTCATTCTAAATGCTTCTACATCACAAGGCGCACTCAATTCAACAAAATACTCATCGATAAATCAGAAAACATCCCCTATAAAGTGAGAACAGGAGGGGGATCGAGGAAAACGGCTAGGAGAACGAAACAATTTTCGTCAGCTGCAGGTCGGACTGCAAAATTTTTGATATCCCAAACAAAAATTCAACAAAAAGTATTTCCTCAATTACAAAACGAACACAAAATGATGACCGTTGAATGATGAAAATAAATGAAAAATATTTTCCAAATGATAGATACACTTACTATGATGACTGTTCATAAGCAGGTCAACATTATCGTCGATGTTTTCTCCGCAAGTTCTCGCCTCAGCTCTTTGAGTGATGAGGATATTCCTGACCATTGGTAGCTGCTCGTCTACGTCTTCTCCAGAACACATTCCTAGATGATATCCAACACCTTGTTCCATACAACTCTAAATCAGTGACCATCAATAATTGTCTGCATTCAAAATTCTTATGAACCTGAGTAACAAAATACTCCAAAAAAATAGCAAAAAATTAAATAGTCTGAGAAACTATTCATCTAAAAAAGAACTGACGAGATTTGCGTTATCATCGAGAATGCTGAAACCATTGCAGAAAGTATGCTTCAGCGATGGAAAAACTGCTAATAACGGAACACTCAATGGGTAACCGTCCGCACAACCATCCGATTTGAGCATCATCTGAAGATTCCCGCATGGAAAATCAGTTTTTGAAGGAACCACTTTCCAGAAGTTCAGAATCAACCAGTAGCTAGTTTCAAATTTTCCTTAACAAGACAGGAAATTTCTTTCAAAAAAGCAAATTTGTATCCCGTAATTCGAAAAATATCTATCTGTTCCGAAGAGGTGCCTTTCAGTTAAGATGTTCAAAAGTCTACTGTCCAGTACTTTGCAATTACATAACCACAACCACATGGAAAACCAACCTTAATATTGGATAGAAAAATGTCTGCAAATAACTTCCAATATGAACGGATTTGACAATAATCTTTGAAAAGCGAATGAAAAGCTTCCAGATATCCGTTAATTCTTGTAACAACACGATGAAACACGAAACAGTTTGATTCATAAATGAGAATTTGCGAAACTTCTGTAAAGTTCATTAATGCGAAATAAGTCGCGATAAGTTCCGATTTCATTTGAATGGGCTGAATCTACAGTATGCGAGACATCATTCTCAAGTACGGTAATTCTTCAATGAAGTGTTTAGTTAAATGACCAAACATGACATTTATGATAAATAAAGTTTCTGACAGAAATCAGGTATTTTGTTGAATAATTTCAGTTGGTTGTATTGAAATAATGGGATCTATTTGCAATGAGATTCAAAGTATGACTGTGAGAGCACGAAAGAATAATCTTAAAAATGGATGGAAAATTCAATCTGATTCGTTCCAAACATGTGAAAGAAACAAATTTCTGTCTTACAATTAGCTAAGTGCGTTGATTCGTTAGAAATCTGATTGAAGCAGCAACAATCATCAGATTGATGAATGAAAATTGAAAAAAGTGTTTTTTTTTTCAGGTGACTCTAGTCTTGCGGTTCCAAATAAGACACTAATTGTACGTAGAGTTACAGCGGACAAGATCTCATGTTCGCATGATCACATTTTCGGAGAACGTTGTATGTTTACGATAGGAAACTTTTGAGATAGAGCCATGATCTCATGTGCCCAACAACATTGCACTAGGATGCTTCTCCTGTTGGATGATAAGATTTTGATATTGTGTCGAAAACATTTGCAACTGAGCCAATGAAATTCATTCACAATCAGTGCAAATATGCAATACATCAAATACATTGTATTTCCCGTAAGGAAATGCAAACATTTTAATATTTGATAGAAATCCAATCAAGAAAAAGCACAAATATGTTAAAGTGATCTTTCGTGGCAATCCGTAATTCTGATTGGTAAAAACAACTGATCGATTAAGAAAATTCCTGCAAAGATTAGCGGAAAGAAGCAGTTTTATTCGACTATCAACTCTGGTCCACTAGTCAAAAGTTCCGTTGGATTATTCGCAAATTACCGATTGCCATGAACAAATTAAAAAACAAATCGAACAGTATCAAACAAAAAAGGATTATAAATTTCTGAAGAGCAAGACAGCCGTCGAACCAATCTTAAAATGCATCGCAGCTTGATGATGGACACTGAAACCCATTTCTGATTCACTCATTGCACAGTGATACGGCGATCCATGCCGTTCTTCGAATCTTTCAACAAGGTGTTTCGCAGCACGCATGTTGTCACCGACAAACCTGAAAAGAACTAAAGCCGTCAGAAACCTCTCAACCAATAACACGGAAATTTCAAACTATCTTTCAAATTTTCTCTCTCTGATCTCCCAAAAACGTTTGAGATNACGCATGTTGTCACCGACAAACCTGAAAAGAACTAAAGTCGTCAGAAACTTCTCAACCAATAACACGGAAATTTCAAACCATCTTTCAAATTTTCTCTCTCTGATCTCCCAAAAACGTTTGAGATGTTCAAGTCTTTCTGATCTTTCAAGATAGTAACAATTCAGCATCACAGTGAAGTGGTGAGAATCTCCTTGTTCTTAATATTGGTTCCTGATTCGCAAGATGACCGTGCGATGGAATCTGAACGAACCGTTGAATGGCTTCTGCGGCAAGATCAATGGCGAATCGTTCCTTTGGTCGACTCATACCCGACGATACAACTCGAATATCAGCAGATGCGCATCCGATTGGAATGTATCGCGTAACTCGGAGATCTTTAATTGGCAAGTCCTGGCTACGGAACAATAGGAAACAATAGTTATCGATCACGAAACGTGTATAGTGCTTTTCATCATAGTGAACATAAGAACCAAAGTGATCTTTCGCAACAATGCAGTGATATGCTCCTGGATGTTGTGCCTCGAATGTAGTCCTCACAATGTGAGCGATCTTCTCGACAGATTTACTGCAAAAAAATCACTGATTTCAACCGTTCATACTGACAGTGGAAACAGCAGTTCGCTCATTAGTGCAGTTCACTTACTCACAGCAATTTTTAAGAAAATACTTCAACTTGGCCGTAAAAACCACATATCTGAACAAACTGAGACGATGATTCCGCAGTAATGACCCGTTTTTTAAAGATTATTTAGTGCAATTGCAAAGTGTTGACGTACTTTTCATTGACTGCTTTTCGTGCGATATCAATAACAGCTGTTAGCATTGCAGCATTCATTCCGTTCTTGATGACGAACTCACGTCTTGGCTGCACCCACGGAACAAGCATTCCGGAGTGTCTACGCTCTCGGATCGGATGAACCGACTGGAACGGATCTTCATCTGATGCATTCTGCTTGAATAAGCAAACCACCCAATTATTCCACTTAAACACAATGTTGTTGTCCGGATCGTAGCGGATATGATATCCAATATCCGCACCTGTTAAAAAACAATGAAAATGTGATCCGTAAACATCTTCAAAGCCTTCAGCGATTTGTTGAGCAAAACGAGCGATCATTTGCTCGTCATCGTTGTTCTTCGATTGGTCCGTATTATTGCCACTGCTGCAAATAGTTTGTTTTTGTACTGGAAAGTTATTTTTTATTGCATTCATTGAAAAGGAACGAAAGAGCAAGAACTTTTTGAAAAATAACTGCAATTCTAGGGAATTTAGGTACTGAGTCAATCTGTTGTGTTGCTCATCATTTCATGCAATCGATTATGATTGCATGAAAAGCTATTGTCTGTAACTGATTCAGACGGATTCTCATTCTTTTCAGACATGTTGTATTCACTCTCATAGCTATCACATGCGAATACAGTTCTCTTCATGACTTTTTATCATTCACTTCGTCTCGTTTCATTTCACAG